AAGTAAATCAATCTCATTTCAAGTCATTTTTCCACTTTGGCTTTTATCTTTAAACTTTTCTATAAAAAAATTGAACTCTTGTCAATCCTTGTAGTGATGCAAACAACTATACTTCTACAATATGTAGTGAAGAGAGATATTTTCCACTTGGATGTTGAGTGAGGCATTGTTGATTTTAAAATCCAAGTCATATCCTCCACTTTGAGATGATGCAAATTCTCCTTTCTCATAATTGTGGGTAGTAGGTATGTTTTCCACACGAACAATGACGAGGATGTTTTATCTCATAAAATTAACCAACACATTTGTGTTTTAAATTTTTAAAAGAGGAACTACGTGTACCCTGATCCCCTATTGCACGAAAGGTGGTACATAGGCACTAAAGGTTCGCAACCGCGACAGGTGCAAAAAAAAATTATAAAATAAATATATTTCTTTTCTCACCTCCACCATCCATTTTTATACAACATTTTTTATAGCCAAAATATACAAATTTTACAAAGAGGTTTCTGCGGAGTACCATAGATGTTTAGGGTGCTAATACCTTCCCTTTACATAACCAACCCCCTTACCTTGAATCTTTCCCCCTCTTTTTTGGGTTATTCGCTCTTTTCCCATTCCTTTGAAAACAATAAAGCGCGGTGGCGATTTTTATTTTGATTTATATAAAGTCTAGTCAATCCAATGGCTTAGTCTTAAACATTTCTACCGCTACACTCAGAGAGATTCTTCTTTTCCTTGTATAATCTCTTCTAGAGAGGTCGCCGTCTTCGGATGACGGCGAGAGACAGTGAAGTGCCTTGAGAACATCTTCCCCAACTACTTCTATGAGGTGATGGATTTGTTGGGGAGGCTTTTGTACCAAGACACTGCCCATTTTCTCAGAGTTGTTGGAAATAATCTGCACTTGATGGCACCCCTAACACCACGGTAGTCGAGAAGGGCATCAACGTTCTCGATGTAATCTTCAGGATCAGTCATCCCATCATATATTCCCAAGTTTGGTGGTTTTTCTAGTCCGACGGGGAGGGGAGCATCCATGATAGCCCGAGATAATAGATCGCAGGGGTCTTCCTCGTCGCTCCATCCCGATGATGGTGGCAAAGAATAGTTCTGCTCCCCTCGTCGGGGACAATTTTCTCGTTGAGGAGATGGGCTTCTCGATATGCCCTGCAGTTTCTTGGTCACCGGGGAGAGTTGGTCCCTCCGAGGAGGGGTGTGATCACACTTCTTGATGGCCAAGAGACGAGTTTTTTCTTGCTCCCGGCAGTGATCATGTCGTCGAGGAGATGTGTTGTGTGATCTTTGTCGATGGTGCCTCCGCAAGAGAGACTTTGATCGGTGAGAAATTTTCCAACACCCACATCTTTTCATTTTGTTGGTGGATTAGGGAGTTGGTCTGATTGAGAGTTGCGAGCAGGGCAGCCATAACAGGGTCGGTGTTGGACGGAGTAGGGATTTCCTACGTGTTTTCCGCTGCTCCTTCCTGAGCCTTCTTGATCTTGTGAGTTTCGATGTCGACGTCTTCAGCCTCGTCAAAGAATGGGGAGACGGTGCGACTGTCCCTCAATGGATGGATATTCAAGAAAGGGAATCTCGCCCCAGTCATCTATCTTACGGGCAGGGGAGATGGTGTGTTTGTGAGCATTGTCGTCTTTATGACTGGCCATGATCCGAATCTTGAATATCTGCTTTGATCTTCGGTTTCAGGGGAAAGAAAGATGGGGAGAGCAGGTTTCCCATAGACGGCGCCACTGATCTTATCGGTTGAGCAGAACCTGAAGTGGGCCAGAGACTTCGACTTCAATGCTGGAATGGAGGAGGAGGGGGTGTACCTGCAAGACACTCTGATGCTAAAGTCAATAAGAGCACAAAGAGATACAAGATGGAAAGTCTAGAATTTTAGAAGTATGTGATGAACATTCAATACATGTCCCTCACCTGTGTAAAGGTTTATATAATGCCCCCGCCGCTTGGCCATTGGTCCCTATTTTTAAGCCTAGATATGCGGGTCCGTAAAACTAGATAACTGTCACGACTTGGTCAAACCGGGCAGGTGTGCCTGCAACTAGTCGTTAGTTTCAAGGAGGAGGTGGGTTACAGGCAGTGTTCTGATCGATTCCTGATTGTCTGACCGACTTGAGGTCGGACAAACTGAGAGGTGCCCGTAACTGGCCTTTGCGGCGAACAAGGGTGAGATGATGGGCAGACGCGTTGTGAGCGCTATTCTGGTTGTGTGGAGGACAACAAACCATGTGTCCTGGCCGAGGAGCAGAAGCAGCTGCGAGCAGAGGTTCTGCCGAGGACAGCGATGGTCACGTTCGTCCTGAGGGGACAACCGACCACATGTCCCCGATTGAGGGACAGAGGGAAAATATGTCACTTATCTACTTCAATTGAGGCAAAATTATTAGTCCATCTTAAATGTAAAAGTGAATTGGATCATATACATAAATATTTTATCAGACCAGAACAAAATCAAAGTTACATTTTATTACGTTATAACCGTTGGATAAATTAGCATGATAATTTCTAAAACACCACATGTTGTACATGCAATGATAATTTCTAAAACACCACATGTTGTACATGCAATGATAATTTCTAAAACACCACATGTTATGTTGTACATGCAATGATAATTTCTAAAACACCACATGTTGTACATGCAATGATAAATTTCTAAAACACCACATGTTGTACCACGTTACGATATGATTTAAGACAAACAGATAGTGACAATACTATATAGGATGATGACAATGATCATTTAATTCAAATTTAAATTTATGTTTTATTAAAAATTGTAATGTTTGGACCATTTGTGTGGTCCATATTTAGGATACCTATGTCTATAACTTGTTTGGATTAAAAACTATAAAAGTTGCACATTGAGAGATATAATCAAATACGGATATGGCCAACATTTCTAATTCAAAGAATCTCATGTATGAAAACTTGAGAATGGAGAAGAGAGAAGAACAAGAAACACTAAAAAATGAAGAAGAAAGCTTCTCCTATGCAATGCAACTTGCAATCGCTACTGCACTTTCCAATGTGCAATTAAACTTGGTGTATTTGAAGTGTTGCAAAAAGCTAGTAAGGTTACTTACCTCTCTGCCAACAATATTGTGACTGGTCTTTTCAACCTTAATTATTATAACATCCGTGCGTTTATATAATTACTGATGTATATTCATAATTTTAGTTTTAAAATATAATAAAAGTATAAATAAAAAAACTCAATTGTATTATCAAAAAAATTTATAATTTTCTTTAAAGAAAAAATATTATTTTAAATAAAAATGTAATTATTTTACTAAAATTATTTTATATCAATAATTTATATTTTAATTTTTCATATATTATTTTTAAAAATATAAATAAAAATAATTTCAGAATAAAAATATTAGCAACATAAATAATTTTAAAACAACACATTTTCATATGTTATTTTAAGTATATTTATTTATATTTTTTTAATTGTACAAAAATATAATAATCTACGAATTTACACAAATTCTAATATGATTATCTGTATATTCACACGATACTGATATGTTATTTGTGCATTCACATATGTATTGGTGAGATATACACGCTTTTGATATCAAAATGTAATAAAAATATAAATAAAAAAACAAATTTATTTTACCAAAGTAATTTATTATTTATTAAAAAAAAGCATATTGTTAAAATAAAAATAAAATTGTTTTATCAAAATTATTTTATATTAATAATATATATTTTAAATTTTCATATATTATATTAAAAAAATTATATCTTAAATTAAAAATAGTTTCAAAATAAAAGTATTAGATACACAAATAGTTAAGAAAAAAATATAATTTTCTTGTATTTAGATTAATACATTATTTTTACTTTTATTTTCTTTAAATGTATAAAAAATATAAAAATTCTTGGGTTCGTATGAATTTTGATACAATTATCTGTGTGTCACACGATACTAGTATATTACCGTACGTTCGCAGGAATACTGGTCTGTTACACGTATTTATTTTCAAAGATATAATAAAAATGAAATGACAAAAAAAAAGACAAAAATATCTAATCAAAATAAATTACTATTTTTAAAAGAGATAATAAATCAGTTTCTATAATTTTTTTCGTATATCAAAATATTTAAATCAAAGTATAATTATTCATATATACAAAATTTAAATAAATAATAAAAGTATTACCGCTATTATTCAATGTTTAAATCAATAGTTTAATATCAATATCATATATGCGTACCATATAATATCATTAAGTTTTACAATATCAACTAATAATATAGTATTTAAAAATATTAATTTAATCGTATAAATAAATATTAATAACAAAAATAAAAACGTTTGGCATGTGTTTAGAATCATACATTATTTAAAATATATTTATTTAATTATACAAAAATTATAATAATGAGTGGATTCGCACGGATTCTGATACAAATACATATATTTTCATACGGATACTGATTACTACTCATAATTCATATGGATACTTGTGTATTTATTCAGTTTTAGATATTTAAATAAACTATTGGTTAATGAATTTTTTTTACAGGACTAAATAATATTTTGTATTATTTGATCTACTCAAATCAATAAATATTTATCATATATCATTTTTAGAATTAATATTTTTTTTATCAAATAATTTGTCTAATAATATCGACAATTTTAAATAGGTTTATATTAAGCATCAATGGAACATAAACTTCATAAGTCATACTAGCATCCTACAAACAATTCATCATTCCAAAAATTAAACTTTTTTTATTACCCTACCACGTTCCGATATGATTTAAGACAAACAGATCGTGACAATACTATGTAGGATGATGACAATGATCATTTAATTCAAATTTATGTTTTATAAAAAATTGTAATGTTTAGACCATTTGTGTGGTCCATATTTAGGATACCTATGTCTGTAATTTGTTTGGATTAAAAACTATAAAAGTTGCACATTAAGAGACATAATCAAATACAGATATGGCCAACATTTCTGATTCAAAGGATCTCATTTATGAAAACTTGAGCATGGAGAAGAGAGGAGAACAAGAAACAGTAAAAAATGAAGAAGAAAGCTTCTCCTATGCAATGCAACTTGCAATCTCTATTGCACTTCCCATGGCACTTGAATGTGCAATTGAACTTGGTGTATTTGAAGTATTGCAAAAAGCTGGTAAGGATAATTACCTCTCTGCCAACGACATTGTGACTCGTCTTTCCAACATTAATAATCCAGAAGCTTATAGAATGTTAGACCGCATTCTTGCTTTTCTTGCCTCTCATTCAGTGCTTAATTGTACCCTCATTCCTCATGATGATGATGATGATGATGAACAAAACCACATCAATTCCTTTCAAAGACACTATAGCATGACTTCGGTTGCCAAATTTTTTGCTCCTAATTCTGACGGTGTTTCATTAGCACCCTTGATTGCGTTGAATATCGATAACATTTTTCTTGCTAGTTGGTGAGTCATCTCTCCTTCCACTCTCATATATATTTCTGTGATATTGATATGCATTACAAGTAACTTGACTAATTGTGTACACATTCATTCTTAATTAGGTCTCAACTTAAAGACGCAGTTCAGTTCGGAGGCACTCCATTCAATAAGGCTCATGGCACCCATCTATTTGACTATCCTAACTCCGATTCGAGGTTCAATCAAATTTTCAATACTGCAATGAACAATCATTCAACTATAGTCATGAAGAGGGTTCTTGAATGCTACGATGGTTTTAAGGACATAAAAAGACTTGTGGATGTTGGTGGTGGCCTCGGGATGAACATTAACTTGATCACTTCAAAATACACTCATATACATGGTATCAATTTTGATTTGCCTCATGTCATACAACACGCTCCTTCCTATCCTGGTATAAAAGTTATTTAAAACTAACATCTTATATCTATTGTTCATCTTTTAATATTTTGATTCGTAAGGTATTACTCAATGATGACAGGAGTGGAGCACATTGGCGGAGATATGTTTGAAAGTGTGCCCAAAGGAGATGCCATTTTTATGAAGGTGAGTGAATATGTATTATTTGTGGACGAACTAATGCAAATGAATGTAATTTCAAATACAACTATAAAAAATAACTTTAAAATTGACAATCAGACCCACATTCTAAGATCATTAATAGAAATGTTAAAATTACTTTTTATAAATTATAAATAAGAAATTATAAATATGTAATATAATTGGTTTGACTTCCAATCTTTATATATTAATTGTCTTATTTTTCAATTAACTTTCAATCTTTATATATTAATTGGTTTGACAAAATATAATAGTGGATACTTCATGATTGGAGCGATGAACGTTGTTTGAAACTTATGAAGAATTGCTATGATGCTATTCCCGATGATGGAAAGGTGATAGTTTTGGAGGCACTTCTACCTATTATGCCAAAGAACGAAGTTGTTTGGAAATCTATCTCTCATGTGGATATTGCAATGATGACTCATTGTTTAGAAGGAAAAGAAAGAACCGAACATGAATTCAAAGATTTAGCAACTAAAGCTGGATTTCGTGGCATCAAATATGGATGTTGTATTTATAATTTTTGGGTTATGGAGTTTTTCAAGTAATTCTACAACTATAATATGGAATTGAAATTGTCGGCTACATACAATGTGATAGAATCGCGGAGTTAGTTTTTAGATAATTTAAAGTTAATAGAAAAATTTATCTTAGTCAGATCTTTATCTTAGATATAGTTTAATTGGTCTTTTAGTCTTTGAGCCTTTATTTTACTATCAATTGTTGTTATCATTATATATGTACCTCTTATTGAGAGAAAAGATTATCAATTGTTGTTATCATTATATATGTACCTCTTATTGAGAGAAAAGATTATCAAATGAATGAAAATGCATTTACTTTCTTAGTTTATCTTAGCATTTATAGTTTTATTATTTTTTCTTGGTTTTGTTAGGATTCTAGCATTTGTTTTTTTTTAACAATTGTGCTCTCATTTCGATCTCATTCCCGATAAATGGAGTTTGTGATGCCGTTTATGAATTTTTATGGAGTAGAAGAAGCATATTGGTGGATTCTTTCCACTGAAAAATATTTCAGAGCCAAAAATATCGTAGAAGATAAGGAGAAGATGAAGGTAGTTGAAATTGCAATGAGAAGTCGTGCTCTCAAATGGTGGAAATGACGCTCTCAATCTCATCCATTGATGACCTGGAATACATTTGCAGATGTATTTCTTTGGTATTTTAAACCTGAATGGAGACACTTTTTTTTTAAGATTTAGATGAAGAAATGAAACCAACTTATGAATCAATGAATTCCATAGATCCAATCCCTAAAACTGTTCTGAAGGTCGTAGAAGAAACATCATCATCGAATTTGTGCATAAAATCTCTTAAAGGTGACACCTTGGGTCGAACTTTAGCTGCAAAAGAAATGAATGAAATGGAAGAAACTTATGAGTTGTTGAATTTTGAAGATAAACCTCTCATACTTGATGATCGTGTTTCTCCCACTGATGACATTGAAATTCATTTAGACCTTTCACCCATTTTAAAGCAGAAGAGCACTTAACTTCCTTCTCACAAGATATCTTCAAATCTTGTCCACATCTCAACTTATGCATCTCTCACAACTTCCATGATTGAGCCTTTTGTCAAGGATTTGGGTTTTAAGGAAATTCTACCAAAACCCCCAAATCCCAGTTCAAAAAAGAAAGTATCTCGTTCTGACAAGTTAGGTCGAATCGTCGGTTGGACTCGCAACTTCAATAACCAGACACCCACTGTGAAGCAGGCACAAATTCAGTTTCCTTCTCCCATATCACCTTCGACCATGGCTAAAATAAATGAAATGATTCTTCCCATCAAGACTCATGATTATTTTTACAACAATGTTGATTTCATGATTCCTCCAAAGCCACCAGATCCTATTTTTGATATCAACAATTCCATTATTTCTCCACAACCTCCTTCCATGGATAGTACAGACCAAGTGTTTGTAACAATGCATACAATATCGTAAACCTTCATCTTGAGTCCAACTCCACAGATTATTAGATACAGGCTGAGAGTAGACAATCTTGTTTCGTGTAGCTCAAATTCTAGACATTTCGGTCTTTCATTGAAGCATAAACATGGTGCAATGAGGATTTTAAAAAGGGAACAAATTAATTGTCATTCTACTACAGTCGTGTTATCAGAAGCCAAAATCTCCTTTACTGGTTTTGAGGACTTCTCTGTCTCTACTGCCGACACCACTGGAGAACTAAAGATAAGCATCGAGGTATCTAGAAACAAAATGCAGAGGATTTATGGTGATGTTTCTGCTCACTACTGTTGGGAACATGTGAAAGACATGACGAATTCAAGAATTGCAAAACAAATTGATGAAAAACACCATGACTTTGATCTTGCAGATGAATTTATATGGGCTGCTGCATGGTTGCACCAAGAAACTAGCAATGAATACTACCTAAAGTATGTCGTGGATAATTCGGTGTTTATGGGTGGAACAGGTTGGGTGGTGAAAGAGTGCTCTTGGGATAACAAATATGCTAGTGTCCAAACCCTTCTATCCAAGGTTGTTGAAAGAAGGATTCTTGAGCTAGAAACTTCACATGACCTTTCAAGGATCTGGTTACATATAGATATGGATGTTTTCTATGCAGCAGTTGTGACTTTAAGTAACCCCATGTTACAGGGCAAGCCAATGGTTGTTGGTAGCATGTCTATGTTATCCACTGCCAATTATGATGCCAGGAAATTTGGGGTTCGTTCTGCCATGCCTGGGTTCATTACACGGAAGCTATGTCTAGAGTTGATCTTTGTCCCAACAAAATTCAGAAAGTATACCCATTACAGTGATTTGACGAGAAAAGTTTTTCAGAGGGTTGATGTTGAATCTACTAAAGTATCGAAACTTCAATACTTTATTAGGGTTTCCCAGAATGAGACTGAACTTGGGAGTAAGGATAAGACTGAGGCTGAGGGAAGGCTTGACTTTGGTCAGGTGGGTGACTCATCTGCCCTTATGGTTGTACAGCAGGTTGAAGCTGTTGTGGCTGTTGGTGAACTTGCATATGATTGAGATTGTGGGGCTGAAGGATTCTGCACATGTGAAATTGGTTGAGACAATCCTTGAGCCTGGGGCTGTGCTTGAGGCTGCAACTGGGGTTGCTGTTGTGTATGTGGCTGAGGTTGAGGCTGGACATAGGCTTATTGGTATTGTGTAACAATAGGTTGTTGATAAGGATAACAATGTTGATACTGCTATTGTTATGGATCTTGTACAGGTTATTGCTGGTAATATTGTCGAGAATGTTGTTTCCAGTACTGAGACACCGTGTTCTGTTACAAGTTGCCTCTTCATTAGTGGGGCACTGGCAGCAGCAAAAATTTCACAGATTTTTTGTTTTTGTAGCAAAAGTGTTACTTTTGGTCCTTGTTTACTTAATGCTCATAAAGAAGTATACTTTATCAAAAGCATGGAAAGTAATATTGGGGCCATTGATCATGTTACTTTTTCAATAATTATTTTACAACCTTGAGGACAAGGTTGTTTTTGAAGGGGTTAGTAATGATAGAATCATGGAGTTAGTTTTAGATAATTTAATATTTAAGTTAGTAGAAAAATTTATATTAGTTGGGTCTTTATCTTAGATATAGTTTAATTGGTCTTTTAGTCATTGAGCCTTTATTTTACTACCCATTATTGTTATCACTATATATCTACCTCTTATTGAGAGAAAAGATTATCAAATGAATGAAAATGCCTTTACTTTCTTAGTTTATCTTAGCATTTATAGTTTTATCATCTTTTCTTGGTTTTGTTAGGGTTCTAGCATTTGCTTCCTAACACAATGCTACTTCTTTTGTTGTTTCGTTGTATTTTGTGATATTGGTAAAATAAATATGAATATTCTAATACCCTTTAAAATGTGTTGGTTACTCTAAATTTTGTTAATTTTATTTTTAATGTTTGAAGTTGAGAAATTAATATGCCACTCCCTAAATTAAATATGTCACCTCTAAAAAAATTTTTATTCCACTTTTATTCTTGGATGAAATATACACTATTTCGGGATGAAGTTTCTGGTAGAAGGATTGAAATTTTAAGTACCACCCAATTTTCTGGTACACCCCTATAAAATTTTCAGTATGCGTAAATTTCTGACAGTGTATTTAAAATTTCTGGAGTAGCAGAAATTTCAAATTAACTGAAATTTCTGGTAGTTATAAAAACATGATTTTTTAAACGGCTGAGATTTTACTGACATATTTGGAAGGTTCTGATTGCACCAACACATTTGTATGGTCTAAAATGCATCTCCATTTGTATAAATAGGGGCATGTGTTATAGAGAAAATACATCTCAAAAAAATGCATCTTTCTCAATTTCTGATTAAGGCATGAGTGTATTACAACAACAAAAACAACCCTCTTGTTGAATTCAAGCTTTCAGATGGCTCCGAATCCTTTGCCACTTTGAAAGAAACGTTGAATAATTTACTGCCTGATTCCAATAACAACATCTAACTCAACCATTTCATTCACACACCTAGGACTCCTTCCACTTCCACTTGCATCGTGTTCCACAAACATTTCCCCGTCAACTTGCATCTCACAAGCATAAGCAGCGAAATCATAAGCATTCTCATCATTCTTAATCTGGGAAAGGTTTTCATCTATGTTGGTGATTTTCATCCACAATCTGTACAACCCTTCTAAGTAATCCCACTCATTTACTATGTTACGAATGTGAATCATTGTCCACTTTTCAATGTGTTCCCTAGAAACTAATGCTGAAACACCACCCATGTATATCGTTTCACCATCACTCAACCTTATGAACTCTCCTTCATGGTGAAAAACAACGTTAAACAGTTGCATGTTCTGAAATTAAATATTAAATGTAAGGCTCAACACAAGAATGCATGTTCGATTCAAGTAATAGCGACGGAAATTCAAACTAACCTGAGACGCGTCGCTTGGATCTTCGCCATTCTCTGCCATGTCTTCGTCTTCCCCGGTTGCTTTGTCTCTCCCAATTGGTTTCTAGTTTTGAACCCTAAACTATTCACAGGGGTAAAAAGGAATAGACAATTTGTATTATTTCATTTTTTATTTAATTGATAAATGTAATCAACATAATCCAACTCAGCAACTCAAGCCATGCCACATTGGAAGATTCTCACGCTCAGTCAGCCAAACAGTGAAATGAGGGCTTCTACAAATAAAATCTTTGTTTTATAAAGATGGAATCACAACAAATATTTTTAAGGGGAGAAAACAAAACTCGTCTTATTGATAGGAGACATCGTATATTTAATCTATTTTTTTAATTAATGTAAAAGTAATTATTTTTGTTTATAAGTGTGACCGAAAGAAATATATGATAATATATTTTATAAAATAAAACATATAACTTTTTTAGTGTTTTTAAAAAATTCTAAATATACAAACTTAATAGGTTAATAATGGAAATTTTAATTATGCATTGAGACTGTGGAAGAAAAAAATTTAATAAATATTTTCTCTTTATTACTTTAGTGTTCTTTAATTTATGCTCTTATCTCTTTATTACTTTAGTGTTCTTTAATTTATGCTCTTATCTCTTTATTACTTTAGTGTTCTTTCATTTATGCTCTTATGTTTAAAAAAAGTGTACAAGCATAAGTAACTCATTATATTTATATTTTTAAATTTGTATAAAATAATCAAATTTATTACTTTTTAAAAGACATAATAACACTCTTTAAATTGTTAAAAGAGGAGAGGAGAAGAAAAGGCTCTATTAATTACAAAAAGAAATATACAAAGTGTTACATAATGCATTTTGTTTTTGAAAAAAATTAATATAATTTAATATCCATTAAATATTTGCTAATATTTGTTACAAAATTTTGGTTTAATTGATAAATAATTGACTCCAACACCAAAAAAAGAAAATTGATTAAAATCTCAACGACGTTCTAATCATAATTTTTTTCTTAAATCCAACCCATCTAATTAAAATAGTACTGTCTTTGCAAAATTGAGATTCTCCGATTCAATAATTATGAAAGTTCATGTATGGTGGCAAAATTCAGATTCTCCAATTCAATAATTAGGGTGAGGTGTCTATAATAATTAGGGTGAGGTGTCTATATTTGGTTTCATGTTTATGTTGTAAATTTTTGCGTTTTTTATAATTTATTAGTGGATACATCTTGAGGAATTAACATGTTATTCCTTATTTTATATATGTCATTTCTTTAGATATGATGTAATTACGAAAATGATTCATAAATATATTGAAATTTTGAAAATTTCTGATTTCATATAAGAAATTTCGCGTAAATACTGGAAATTTTGTTAAATTTCCAAATTTTTACTGTGTCATTTAATTGTTATCGGAAATTTGAAATTTTCGATATCGAACATTTTAAATTTTCGGTTTTTTCCATCATTAAAATGACAAATCGAAAATTTGAAATTTCTGGTGTATAAAAAATACCGGAAATTTCAAATTTTCTAATATTTTTTTATTCTAAATACAAATCGGAAATTTGAAATTTTCGGTGGATAAAAAATACCAGAAATTTCAAATTTCTGAGAGTTACATTTTTTTTTGCTTTTTTTAAAACTATTACTTGAATAAAATACATTGTGAAATAGCGAACCGACTTAATATATAAATAGAATAATTGTCATACGTAATTACATTAAAAAAAACTACAATCACGACCTAGATAATTCTTCTCAATGTCAGAAGCGATCTGCATATGCTGATTCTCATGCTTTTGCATCATTAGAACAATTCTCCCTCAATTTCTTAGTGACGGGAGGTAGTGGACAATCGGGTTTCAACTTCACCTGAACCCAATGACATTCGTTGACAAAACCAACAACAATGATAGTATGTCGACTCATGTACGGGGGTGGAGTTATGAGAAGTGGGAAAAATGTTATGTTAAGTCTCATGGAAAGGAAAACAGATATGATATTATATCTAGAAGCAATAGGGTAACCCATATCATGAATCAACATTCATTTATCTCTACCCTGGACTCCCAAGTGATTGAGTTGTAACAAAGTCCTAACCTCTGAGACAGTGTCATAGAACAACTTGGAAAACAAATCAGTGTGTTGATGGACTTGAGTATCCAACTGCTTCCGACCCGAATAACAAGCTTCTTGTCCCCATCCTAATAAAGATAAAATGCAACGGTAACCATAATTTTCGTCATTCTCAATATCAATTATGTCATCGATGTATGGATGAAAGAAAGTAGGAAACAGTGACAAGTGCTCGGCTCTTGAATATTTGGTAAAGGGTTGCTTACCAATCGACATGGTCGATGATTGACTTCCAATTGGTTTTGTGCATGATCTCTTTGTAGTCTGACTTCCCTACGAAGTTGCATCATATTCCCACTGGCTAGGATCGCGATGCACATCGCTCTTCTCACCCTTTTTACTCTTCTTAACTCCCCTCTTTGGCTTGTATTTCACCGGCAGTGGACACATTGAAGTTGTGAATGGATAGGTTAGATCACAAACTTTTTTCTTCAACACCATCTAACCCACCATATCCAAAGTACAGAAATATCTCTTTAACTCTTCACACTCTTCTCCTAAATCTCACTTACTCTCATCAGGACTCACATCATGTTCTGAAATGTGCAATTTAGTCCAAAATACATGAATTGATTCCAAAGGTATAGGGGTGCCTACAATTTGGAAACCAGCAAGCTGACACGCACACGGTAATCCATGTGTTGTCCTAATGTAACAACCACACCTGTCCTTGCTTGCACCAACAAATTTTATTCTTTCTAGTTCATTTCCAATGAGCTGTATACATTATCTTGAGATAAAATTGTGCAATTTAGAATAGAATGAGGTGTTATACCTATTGTTGTACCCCAAAATTTGCCCTCCCATTTCCTCAACATTTTCTCATCACAAGACCTTTGAAGATCAAGATCCAGTTAGGGTTTCCTCTGCTCAAGACTTCTCCTTGCACTGTGGACTCAAATTAGGGTTTGTGTTTGCCCAAGGATGTTTTGACCTAAAATGCCTAAGATGAATTTCATGTTTCATGTT